GTGATATGATCCTCTCATTCCATGATGTTACTGGTACTTATTTTTATTAATGTTATTTATGTTTAAGAAGTAACTCTTACAGTAGAATCTTATTTATTATTAATGATGAACAAAATACACAAAATAGCTTTTATTTTAAATACAATTTTTTACTGTTGTTTTACCAGTTTAAATTAGTTATTTGTTTGATAATTAACTGTTAATTTTGCCAGTTGTTGACGTATTAAAAACATTTATTAGAGGTAAAAAATACAAGAAAGGGTCTTTTTATTTAGAACATTACCATGCAAAATTAACTTTTAATTTGTGTAAATTTGACAGATTAATAATGTAATTTAGCAGTGATTTCAATCACTGTAAATTAATTTACATTTTTTTTCAGTAGAGTTATTTACTTATGGTTTGTAATTTTAACAGGAAAACTCTGGTAACCACAGCTGCCAGTGTTTTCCTGTAAAAACGACAGTTTTTTTTTTTACAGTGTAGCGCCACAGGTCACTAGGAGAAGTTTGAAGACCCATTCGAAAAATTGAGGAGCTAAAAAAAAACTCAGTGATGTCTCTTAATTTTTTTTTTTTTTCGGAAGAGAACACACCAGGAGAAGCTTTAAGTAGAAAAACGGACCGGATCATCCGGACATGAAGAGCAGCAGACCAAAGACAGAGGGAGAGTTTACGCTCAGTCATTTTCCTGGACCAAGATTAGCAACAAGGCTAAGCTAACAGCTTAACGGTGAGGCTAATGTTTTGTTTTGCTTTCACTGCCTCCTTTGGAAGCATCAGGATCTGATCCAACATGGATTAAAACAAGTGAGTGTGAATCCTGACATGACTTTTTGACCACCACTGGTCATGTCTCACAACTAAATGAACTTCATTAACATGATTTTCCTTTTTAAAGGTATTTTTATTTCATCTGTTTATTTTCATACTGTAATCTGAATATGAATGATTTCTGAATTGTCATTTAACTTTAACATCCAGTGTTAAATGTAGCTGAATGTTGTCCTTTTATTCCTTTCCAGAGAAGGAAAAACAGCACCTGTGTGTGTGCGTGACACAACACCGTTGTCTAAATAAACATAATTTTCTCCCCAAAAGAAATGTTTTTCTGACAGAGACCTGGGCCTGTATTTATCAAACTTCTTAGAGTGGATTTTTAGACTTAAGTTCTGAAAATTTCTTAGATTTACAAAATTCTTAAGTCTAAGAATCACTCTTACTCTCCCGAAAAGTTCAGACTGCTCCAGAGGACTCTTAAGTGGTTAAGAGTTGCCGCTAGGGGTCTGAGATGGACCCAGAAGGCAGAGATCACAGCTGTCCTCCTCCTCGCCTGTGTTATTCTCAGTTATAAGGTGTAGAAAACAGGTTTAGTCAAAAATACAAAAGAAACAAAGGTAGTAAAATAAAATAAAATAACACACATAATGTTGGACTAAAAGGCAGATATTTGTGTGTGGCTTTTGGAGAAAACAAACTCAGCTGGTGAGTGCATGCACCCCCTCCCCCC